TACATACATATATATATATATATATATATATATAATATAACTATATATATAGCCAAACCACTCTATATCAAAGTTTTTAATTTTATTTTGGCTTAATTGAGTCTACTTATATGGTAAGATAGAGCCGGATAGTGTTCTTGGCCTAGTGTCAACGTGAGACTATTACAAAAATGAAACCCAGCTCTGATGATGCCCATCATTTGATGGACGAAAGCTCAGCACGTTTTCCCTCGAAACGAGGAAGGAAGTCTCGTGGACTGCGTCAACATGAATATCGAATCAAAGCCAAACGGCTGCAGTACAACGCGATTGATCCGTTCTCATCTGGTGAGATCGACCAACGAATATCTTCTTCGTGCACTTTCATACGAAATGAAAGTCCCCCCAACAATGTTATCTGAGGCGATTCATCGAAACCCAACTTCTCTTCGTAGCTACAAGGTGATAAAGGACTTAAGTGGACTGCAGTTCAAGCCTCGCTTTGTCTCGCCAGCACTGCCTGCAGGATCCGAAACCGGGTTGTGGTAGCGCCGCCGGTTAACCACTACGCTTCTCTGTCCGTGTGTCCTTGGATCACAGGCTTCTAGGAAGCCTAGGCCCTGCCCACATAACATTTCTTTGATGGGAATGCCGACGAAGCAAAGTTTTATTTGCTATTGAAATCGGCTAGATTACTTATTTTCAGTTTGGAAGGCCGTCGTCTTCTGCTGGAATCGACTTTCGAATCTCTTCACCCAACACGTTAACTCGAAATGGAAGTAAGCACAACAATTATAAACCCAACTTTTCGTCGCAAACACATGCTTGTTTACTCGACAATCCAACCATGAAATGTGAAATGGGAGAGGCCTGGCTTGCTATGAACGTTGCATTTGCCCATTGGAGTGACAACATGATCACGAAACTTACGACCCGATATTGCATCCTGCTGGAATGTGCTAATGAGACCAGTTCAGGCGAGGTCGAAATTGCAGTCTACTGTGGATGAGATAAACTTTCGGAGGATAAGACTAAGTTAAATTCATATGATTGTGGAGAAAATCAACTATCAGTCATTAAACCACTTGAGAGAAATAGGCTTACTAAGCTATTATTCCGGAAGTAACCATCGTCTTGAAAATATGCCCACTTTGGCTCGCTTGCATGCATGTGGGACAAGCATAAAATCGTGGAATGCCTCATCAAGATGGCAAAGTGAGTGGATAATGGTTTCTGGCTCTGACGATGTCCGCCACATGATGAAAGAAAATTCAGCACGAGGTCATCGGGGTCATAGGACGGTGAGCCGAGGTCTTCTTAGAACACAATTCAGCAGACAAATGTCCAAGCCAACCCTCCTTCGGTATCCGATGCGGCCAATCGACGAATCCCTTCCACGCACCTTCTCAAACGAACCGAAAAGTAGACAAGTATCATGCCCACATTGAGTGTGTGTAGCTTGCGTTAGTGTAAATGTCGGACTTGTCTGTTAGCATGTTGTACCTAGAATCAAGATTTTGGCTTATCAGTGCTCCCTCTCACTCTCTCTCTCTCTACGTCCGTCCAGCACCCGCTGGTAATCCCCATTCTTGTATGTGTCTGATCGCCTCAGCATGGCCAATAAATGACAAAGAGCTTGTCACCTCAAACTTTGGAATTTCGAATGGTTCTGGCAAATTCATTCTCGTTCCGGATAGCATGTCTTTCTCCTCCATACACGCCGTCACTGCCGGCGACAGATGAAAGCCTGGACAAGCGAACACAAATGCATAAATTGCACTGATTTTCCCTCAAAATCCAGCTAGAAACAGCCAATCGGCCCGTGAATAGTTTCAACCGATAGTTGGTGAGGGACAAGTTGAAAGTTGCCGGTTGTCGGGCCTGAGCTTCTCGTACGGCCGCGTTTAACAACGGAT